CTAGTCTTCCCAGAAATCTCTTATAACACTGAAAATCTCTCCACAAAATTATCACAGTATCAGTAAGAAATTACTAACATTGCTGATAATGTTAAACCTAACATGAACAGATATTAAAAGGTATTTATCGAATTAATGGCAGCCGTGGGGAGTCAGTCTTCCACCCTCTAGGTAATCATCCCACAATCAACTGGGGAATGGTGTGGTTCCCAACTGGGGAATGATGTGGGTCATCTGTAGTCATCACAGTGCCAAATCCACGTTAACGATTCTGTTTGACACGAAGTATACCAAAAAATGACATATTGACAAGTGCAGAAGACACACACCATTCCTTATAATAGTTCTAACAACCTCTAGTTGTATTGTGTACATAAACTTTCATCCATGTTGCTCTATACTTGTAAACTGCTGGGAGGCTCCACCACCAGGCACCGCTGACAAGGCAGTGAATTGGAGCAGTTCACACGCCCAGCGGCCGACTTCAACTCTGCCCTATATGATATATATAACATAACTCTTATCTAAACATGCAATGAACTGATGGTTAATCCAAAACTGATGGTCACATATCACATGCCCAAAAATCATATATGTAAATTATAAAGAGTAGCAACATAAGGAACACAAACATATGTAGCTACATCATTTGCATATACTAATTAACTACCTTAAATACAACAGCCAGTATGCAGATTAAATAATAAGTCAACCTTCATACACTGTTAAGATCTGCTATTAAGATCCAGACTGTTAAGCAAATTTGCATAGGCAACACTAGGGCCATAATCATTCTCCAACTGATTTACATGCTAAGAAGAATGGAAATAAATATTATCTTGACCACAACATAACCAATAAGAAGATGCAAAGCAATTCTGTAGATTGTCTTCCAAAAGGCGAAGCTGGAGTGTCCTCTCCAGGGCGCAAAGCCTGGGTAGGTAGATATGGAGGAGAAGCTGTTACCCATGCAGCAGGTCCCCCCCCCCTCTCCACGTTGCTGAAATTATCCAATAAAAAGGCAAATGCCAATACACAAGGTTCCAGATTGTCTTAAGCATGTGCTTAAATAATATTGACAGTTTAGTGAGGAAGAGCTAGCATGCCATTCGTAACACGTACGAAGGTGTGTGTTATATGTACAAATGAACAAATCCATAAGGGCCGTGATGAAGATTCGAACCTACGTCTGAGAGCATCCCAGATATTTGATGCATCTCGCTATTGTGTTTTCTGTGTATATGTACAAAATTGTATGTATACGTACACATGTTTACGTATGTTTACAGAGGAGTTTGTATATGTATCAGTGAAATTTAGTTGGTTGTCCAGACATGAATTCATCGAGGGTTATCTTGAGGTTATCTTGAGATGATTTCGGGGCTTAACGTCCCCGCGGCCCGGTCGTCGACCAGGCCTCCTGGTTGCTGGACTGATTAACCAGGCTGTTGGACGCGGCTGCTCGCAGCCTGACGTATGAGTCACAGCCTGGTTGATCAGGTATCCCTTGGAGGTGGTGGTGTAGTGGTGGTAGTGGTGGTCGTAGGTAGTGGCTGGTCGTAGTGGTGTAGCAGGTGTGAGAGGCAGGAGTGACCTGTTCTGAACTCGTGCTGGCCGGGGTTGTGATTCAATGTGTGTGTTGCGATCTTACTAAAGCTTTCAAAGATTTTTATGATGTGTGATGTTAGTGCTATCGGGTTATAATTTTTTGCCTCTGCTGTATACCCTCCTTTATGGAGTTGTTTCCAGTATGTCGGGGTTAACACCAGTATCTAGGCTCCGTCTCCTCCCCCCAAAAAAATTCCTTCCCCCCACGTCCCATCCCAAATCCTTATCCTGACCCCTCCCCAGTGCTATATAGTCGTAATGGCTTGGCGCTTTCCCTTGATAATTCCTTCCTTCCTTCCCCCCCAAAAAAAAAAAAATTTAAGGGCCTGCGATAGTGTGTTCTTTGACAATTCTTGGTGAATATGTAGTTCCTGGAATCCATGGATGGTACAGAGTGCATAAGCATGATGTCTATAGCTACTTCAACCCAGTTACAGCACCGCTCCTGTGCCAGGTAAGTCCACTACGGGGCTCGCCATAGCCCGTGCTACTTGGAACGTTTTGTTCCCAGTAGCTGAATCTTAAACGACAACAACAGGCTATTTCAAATTCCAGTGTAGTTTAGGTGACATGTGATAATATCATGATTCCGTGTATCACATTCCTGAAGAATTAGTTTGGGTTATCAATCTTCAGTGTGTTCAGGAGCTCACTGAAAACGGTATGGTATTGTACCCTCAGTATTTCTCCTCCTTCTTTGTTGTCATTCGTAATCGTTCCATCTCCCAATACTAGATGTAGTTTTCTGGGTTGTGCATAGGAGGAAAAAGTATTTCAGAGTATCCTCTCTCTTATTTCTCTGATGGCCTTTTGCTCTCTCTCTCTCTCTCTGCCTCTCCTGGAACTAATATGATTCTTGTAGCTATAGTTCAGTCCTTTCCATTTCACTACATAGCCTTCCTTGTCGTTCTTGTTCATGTTCTGCGATTTCTTTCCCTCGCCTATTGAGGGGACGCCGTTCCCGTTCCAGTCTTGAGTCCCTTCCTCAGTTGCTTGGCCCAGGTTTCTTCCTCAGTGGCTTGGCCCAGGTTTCTTCCTCAGTGGCTTGGCCCAGGTTTCTTCCTCAGTTGCTTGGCCCACGTTTCTTCCTCAGTTGCTTGGCCCACGTTTCTTCCTCAGTTGCTTGGCCCACGTTTCTTCCTCAGTTGCTTGGCCCAGGTTTCTTCCTCAGTTGCTTGGCCCAGGTTTCTTCCTCAGTTGCTTGGCCCAGGTTTCTTCCTCAGTTGCTTGGCCCACGTTTCTTCCTCAGTTGCTTGGCCCACGTTTCTTCCTCAGTTGCTTGGCCCACGTTTCTTCCTCAGTTGCTTGGCCCAGCTTTCTTCCTCAGTTGCTTGGCCCACGTTTCTTCCTCAGTTGCTTGGCCCAGCTTTCTTCCTCAGTTGCTTGGCCCACGTTTCTTCCTCAGTTGCTTGGCGTGACATCGATATTTTAAAATTAAAATTATACAGTTGCAGGCTGATGGAAAAAGCTGGGTAAAAATAGTTACCTGCAAAGTTTACCTGGTCGTCTCCGCAAGAGTAAATTTGGTTACAACTATTTTGTTCCGATACCTCAGAGGAGGAGGAGGTGGACCATTGGGTCAGATACCTCACGTGAAATGGTCTCAAAGAAGTTGTTGTGGAAGCCACCTCCATCCACACCTTTATGCTCTAAGACTCGACTAAAGAATTTGAAGGTCAGAATAGCTCAATTGCAGCGCATCACCGTGCAACAGGGCGAGTATAGGCGAGACATGAAGAGCTATATCTCTATCTCACTCCTCCGTATAGTCACTGATATGAAAGTTCTACTTTTGGGAAAAAATATTTGGTATCAGTTGTAAGTTTATTTCCGTACTGTTGAGAGGTACTCGACGCGGCAGTACTTATCGGCAGGTTCGACTCCTCCAACTTTATACAATGTATCAAGTTTCTTGATCGATATAATTTGCGTTACGAAGCGCGGGTTTTATCAGTTGAACATTCAACACACGCCACTGATTGAATAAAAATAAATGCTGTTTAAAAGTACTGTATAAATTGCCGTACTGTATGTGCGCGCGCGCGCGCACACACACACACACACACACACACACACACACACACACACACACACACACACACACACACACACACACACACACACACACACACACACACACACACACACACACACAACCAACCTGGTGGATAGCGCGCATGACTCGTAATTTTGTGGCGCGGGTTCGATTCCCGCACCAGGCAGAAACTAATGGGCAAAGTTTCTTTCACCCTGAATGCTCCTGTTACCTAGCAGTAAATAGGTACCTGGGAGTTAGTCAGCTGTCACGAGCTGCTTCCTGGGATGTGTGTGTGTGTGTGTGTGTGGTGTGAAAAAAATAGTAAACAGTTGGTTGATAGTTGAGAGGCGGGCCGAAAGAGCAGAGCTCAACCCCCGCAAACACAACTAGGTGAATACACACACACACACACACACACACACACGTGTCTGTAATGTGTGTAAAATAAATAAATATAAATAAATATATATATATATATATATATATATATATATATATATATATATATATATATATATATATATATATATATATAATATGGTAGTCGTCAGACTATTTATCCAGCATCCTATTTATCCAAATAGTCTCACGACTACCAACATTTTTGTACAGTCAGTGTGGTCTAGCGGAGGAGTGGAGGAGGCCTGGTCGACGACCGGGCCGCGGGGACACTAAGCCCCGGAAGCACCTCAAGGTAGCCTCAAGGTAGGTAGCGGTTAAGGTACCAAGGTGCATAGTGCTCCTGGCTGTCTGGGTTCGAATCCTTCTGGGGGTGTGGAGTTTTCAGTTGCATATTGGCTTGGGGGCCATTCAAGCTTGTTCGTGCATGTATAATATATATAAATAATATAATATTAGATTTAATATTTTATTTATTTCCTGTTGCTATATTTCTTGGTGTTGGGTAGAGCATGGAAGGACGTGTGTGGCGTCTGGGGAATAATATTGTGTTGCCATTAGTGGGGTGATAGTGTGATACACTAGGTGGGTGGTGGTCTCACTACCTCCCCCACCCCCCACTCTCTCTCTCTCTCTCTCTCTCTCTCTCTTTCTCTTTCTCTTTCTCTCTCTCTTCTCTCTCTCTCTCTCTCTCTCTCTGTCTCTCTCTGTCTCTGTCTCTGTCTCTCTCTCTGTCTCTGTCTCTCTGTCTGTCTGTCTGTCTGTCTGTGTCTGTCTGTCTGTCAAAAAACACACAGGAGCAAAGTGTAGCAGGGTGGGGTGGGGGGAAGTAGGGGGGGCGGGACTACAGGAAGCCGAGAGACTGCCGTGAGAGCCCCGGGAGTCGCCGGGTGACGGGTGTAGTGGGCAAGCACCACCACCTAAGAGGGTGAACTATGCCAGGCCAGGAGCTCACGTGGAGGTCCGTCCGTTGCTGGTGGAGGTCCGTCCGTTGCTGGTGGAGGTCCGTCCGTTGCTGGTGGAGGTCCGTCCGTTGCTGGTGGAGGTCCGTCCGTTGCTGGTGGAGGTCCGTCCGTTGCTGGTGGAGGTCCGTCCGTTGCTGGTGGAGGTCCGTCCGTTGCTGGTGGAGGTCCGTCCGTTGCTGGTGGAGGTCCGTCCGTTGCTGGTGGAGGTCCGTCCGTTGCTGGTGGAGGTCCGTCCGTTGCTGGTGGAGGTCCGTCCGTTGCAGCCAAGTTGCTGGTGGAGGTCCGTCCGTTGCAGCCAAGTTGCTGGTGGAGGTCCGTCCGTTGCAGCCAAGTTGCTGTTCTTGCGGACCGTTTTCAGTTGATAAGAGCGAGAGAATTACGCGCAGCTTGCAAGCTCTAGTTTGTATACATGTAAAAATGCCAGTGTCGCCAGCACAGAGCACTTGGTGTCAGTCATGACCACAGTCTTTCCATAACTCCTCAAGTGACTAATTGTTCTAAGATTAGTTCTCTGTGAACGGTGTCAACAGTTGTTTGGAGGTCAGTAAATGCCGACGCCCGAGAGCTTGGTCCCTGCCTCTTCTGGGAAGAAAAACTATGTAACTTAGGCTCGGATTGGTGTCTAATTTGAAACGTCGATAAATCCCGTTTTTTGACATGTCTGTAAGTCCCTCCTTGAACCTACCCCAACCCTAGGATGCCCTTCCCTAGGATGCCCTTCCCTAGGATGCCCTTCCCTAGGATGCACTTCCCTAGGATGCCCTTCCCTAGGATGCCCTTCCCTAGGATGAATCCCACAACGATTGTCTCAACTTTTTGGGGTGCCTATTAACTGCTTGGTGAACAGAGGCATCAAGTGAATGGTATCGTGCCCAACCCTTTGTGTCGCGCCCGGGGATCGAGAACGTAGACCATTGTGCTACTGGACCCTCTCACATCTATCGAGTATAATCCTCTCACGAACTTTGCCTACAACTTGTCAGGGAAAACTGGTCTGAATTTGTGTGGAATTTGGGTTGGGCAGCGGGTGGAGGTGAGGGTGGTGGGGTTGGTGGTGAGTGACGATGGTGATGTAGGCGATAGTGGTTATGGTGGCAGGAGCGGCAGGGATGGTGGCAGGAGCGGCAGGGATGGTGGCAGGAGAGGCAGGGATGGTGGCAGCGGCGGCGGGCATGACAGCGTGTCCCCGACTTGAGATAAAATCACCTCCCTGAATAAGCTGCTAAGTGGGTGGAGGCAGCAGGCTGATGTAGCGTGCGTGTGTGTCTGTGTACGTACGTGTACTTGCCACTCGCCAAATGTGTGGTGGCGACGGATGGAATTAGCGAACTAAAGGAAGGGAAAGCAAACATGTGAACACAGACAGACAAGCCTGCCAGCCAGCCAGCGAGTGAGCACAGCGAGCGTGGGAAAGGAGTTAAGGTTTACTGAAGTGTCGTCACTTTGGGTGAATTTTCCCCATTGTGTCTTTACTCCACCTAGATGGGCGAGGAATTACAGTATATACGAGCCACGTTGACTATTTTCAGACTGGAATTGGTCGAGTATTTTAGGACTTGGTATATATTCCGGGGTCACCAGGGCCTGGATTATTCACCATTTTACCTGTTCACTGACGAAACCTGTACATCTTTGCTGAAAATTGGCGGCTAGGTATGCATTTATTGAACAGTTTGTGAGCTCCGAAGCGCAATTAAATTGTTTATTGTACTAATAACCTCTGGTTGTGAAGTTCGTAAACTGGAGGCCGCCATGCTCGAGATAAAGATGTACATGTTTCGTAAACGGACAGGCAAATGCTTAATGATTCCTGGGACAGGGAACCGTGTATGTGTGTGTGTTTAGTGCAGTAATTAATTATCGAATTACAATTATCGAATACTTGGTTAGTAAAAAAGTTTCCATGTATCGTTTTCTGAACGAGAAAATTGGACTTGTGAGCTTGAAGTGAGCTTGTAATGACGAACAGGAAGGAGAGAGGTAGGCAGGAAGAAGGAAAGGAAAGGAGAGAGAGAGGAGGAGGAGGAGGAGGTAGAAATTATGAAACGCGAGACAGTATAGAGGAGGAAGGAGGAACGGAGAAAGGGAAAAAAGGTAAGATAAATTAAGAAAGGTGATAGTAGGAAGGAAGATCGTAGAGAGGATAAAGGAACAGAAGACGGACAGGTGGAGAGCCAGGAAGGGGACGCCGCCCCCTGCGGTGCCACGGTCACATAGGCTTGGCCGGTTAAGGCGCCTCTCACGTATTTACACATCTTGAAGATTAGGATTTATGATCTTGGGATCATCGTGTACATGTTGGCTGGTTGGCTGGCGGGTGGTAGTGGTGGTTGGTGGCCCTGACGTGGTTGCTGGATGGGGGGTGGTTAGTGGTGGAGGCCTGCAAGCCGCCGTGGGGAAGTAATGGGTGGGTGGGTGCAGCTGTAGTGGGTAATGGGTGTACTGTAATGGGTAATGGCAGTAATGGGTGGCAATGGGTGTACTCACCTAGTTGCTGTGCTAGCGGGGGTTGAGCTCTGGCTCTTTGGTCCCGGCTCTCAACTGTCAATCAACTGGTGTACAGATTCCTGAGCCTACTGGGCTCTATCATATCTACATTTGAAACTGTGTATGGAGTCAGCCTCCACCACATCACTGCCTAATGCATTCCATCTGTTAACTACTCTGACACTGTAAAAGTTAGTGTGGAACACCTTGAAGGTTCGTTTATAGACAGTGGTTGTTACCTAGTTGTTTAATTGTGGGAAATCGTTGTTGGGAGAGAAGTAAACCTGGCGCTGTAAACCAGAGGGCGGGGGGCGTATCCCGTTGGAGATTAAGGGTAACATTATGAGGTGGATGTGAAGCATCAGAGAGACTAAACAAGGCTCCTCGTTCGAGCCGTCGCCTCTCGCAGACCCGCCACCGTAACTGCCGCATCACGTCGTGGTTTTAGTCTGAATTGTGCCTAGTTGAGATTACCTTACGTCAGACGCAGGCGCGTCACCAAGACGACGTCACATCAACGTAATTTTTCCCCACAATTACCCGGAGGCTGAGCTTGACCAAAGATAAAAATAATTTCTTATCCACTTGCATTTATCGTTTTAACGACGCCTTCGCTTTGTGGTGCGTCGGTGTTCGATCCCCGATGGTCCAAGTGGTAAGGCACACTGGTCCTTCATCCCGTCCTTACCCTCCCCTGCTCCTATCCTCTCATCATATACCTTCCAAATCCTATATAGTCATTCTGGCTATTTGGTCTTATATATTACGTAGCTTAGTTGGGAAATATTCCCAAAGCCCCGTTGATGGATTAGCAGTCACTAACAACTTAGTGAAACAATTAATGTGTCGACGTAGCATACAGAGATCACACTAACGTGATGCATCAAATGAACAATGCATTAAGGCAGTGTCTGGGATGCTCCCGGACGCAGGTTCGAACCCTCGTCACGGCCCTTTGTGGATTTGTTCGTTCGACGTAGGTCAGAAACCGAGCTGCGAGGACATCGATCCTCGGAACCAACTAAAGGTAACCTCAAGGTGACCTGTCCTGCCTTCGCTCTCTGTGGGCGTGTGCGCGCGTGCGTGCGTGCGCACCCCCCCCCCCCCCACACACACACACACACACACACACTTGTTTAAGGAATGAAACTTGTGTAAGGAATCTTTCAGAACCCTGTATACCACTTATGTAAGACCAATCCTGGAGTATGCAGCTCCAGCCTGGAGTCCATACCTAGTTAAACACAAGACAAAGTTAGAGAAGATTCAGCGGTATGCCACCAGGCTCGTCCCGGAACTGAGAGGATTGAGCTACGAGGAAAGGCTAAAGGAGCTGAACCTCACATCCCTGGAAAACAGAAGAGTAAGGGGAGACATGATAACCACCTACAAAATTCTCAGGGGAATTGACAGGGTAGACAAAGACAAACTCTTCAGCACGGGTGGGACACGAACAAGGGGACACAGGTGGAAACTTAGTACCCAGATGAGCCACAGAGACGTTAGAAAGAATTTTTTCAGTGTCAGAGTAGTTAATAAATGGAATGCACTAGGAAGTGATGTGGTGGAGACTGACTCCATACACAGTTTCAAATGTAGGTATGATAGAGCCCAGTAGGCTCAGGAATCTGTACACCAGTTGATTGACAGTTGAGAGGCGGGACCAAAGAGCCAAAGCTCAACCCCCGCAAGCACAATTAGGCGAGTACAATTAGGTGAGTACACACACACACACACACACACACACACACACACACACAACACACACACACACACACACACACACACACACACACACACACACACTGACTGACCTCTTACAGTGTTCAAAAAGTGAAATCGATGTTGGAAAATACCTTGTAAGGATACCTGATCATTCAGATACTATACATCAGATCATTCATACATCAGATTGCGAACAGCTTGGTTGACCAAGGGCTAGATTCACGAAGCAGTTAAATAAGTACTTACGAACGTGTACATCTTTGACGACTTTAGTTACATTTATTTAAGTTTACAAGCATGAAAACTTCCCAATCAACTGTTGTTATTGTTATAAACAGCCTCCTGGTGCTTCGGAGCTCATTAAACTTTAAAAATTGTAAACAAAGCCGCCAATGATTGAGGAAAGATGTACAGGGTCGTAAGTGCTTGCGTAACTGCTTCGTGAATTTGGCCCCAGAGCACCAGGCCCTCATGCTTGGTGGTAAGCGGGCCGCCGGGACATTGATCCTCGGAACAACCGAAAGGTCTCCAAAAGGGCACCAAAAGGTCTTGTGACATCTTGATTATAGGAACATGTTGATCATTTTTCACTTCCTCGAGCTAATCTTACCCATAAATGTCCGAGTGAAAAATTTACTGAGCATCATTTAAGGTTTCTTCTTCTGCTTGAGTATAATATTTATTAACCTTCGCCATCTGTTGTCTTGTACACTTCTGTTTTTCTTTAATTTAGAAGAAATAAGTTATTGGTCTCCCTGGAAACTCAAACCGAAACTGTCTCTATTTTCCGTTTGTTACAACTTGTAATAAAGTTGTTACATCTTGGCTTAACGTGTTTATGACGCATTAGAACGTTGTTACAACTTGCTATATTGGTTGTTATAACTGGTTAGGAGGTGTTAAAACTTGTTCGAACGTTGTACCAACGTCGTAGTTTCGGTGTGTGTTTGGCGGGCGCTTAGGTTATCTTTGCCATTTTTTTTTTGTCCAACCCGTGTCTCATCGTTTCTATGTTGTTGTTGCACAACCATTAATAAACTTGTTCCTTTGTGTGTGCGTGTGTCGTGGTTTTATTGTTCAATGATGGTTGCTTGTCGCCTTTCTTAAATATTGGCACTCTGTTGCAAATGTCGTGTTGTGGGGTAACTCTTGTTGAAAAGGTAGCAGTGTGGTTGTTTGTATGG